TGTATTTATTGTATGTGTTTATCATAACGAAGCATTTCTATATGGCAACAGTGATTTTAATTCATTAATTAGCATGTCAGTTTTAATCATTAAATATAAAACCACTAATGTCAAATGTGTCAATTTATTCTGACTTCTCATTTAATTTTTGTTTTAATTTATGTATTTTTGTCTTACAAATATTTGCAAAAATTTCATTTCTCCCAGGATTATTCACTGACACTAGTCAAGAGATAGCAGCATTACAGAGTGCCCTGAGAGAGGCCGGCATGTCTACAATGCTAGGTACAGGAGATGCTGACTCTGTATTAAAAGACACTGGGGTGCATGACAAGAGTGATGTCAGCCATGTCACAGAACAGACAGAGGGAACTAGGGGCTTTGGTCTAAAGCCTGTGGCTGGAGGAGATACTGGTAATCACTGTCAGTTTTATATTACCGATAAGGAAAACACGTGCTCACATGCATGCACGAATGTACACGTGTGTGTGCACACACACTGCTTATAACATCCTACCATCCTACATTTCATTCATGGCAATGACTTCTCATAATAAAACTATTCTTCACTCTTTCCATTTGATTATACAAATTTAAAGTTTGATGGGTATGAGGTGGGGATAAGAAAAATAAATTTGAACAGACAGACAGTTCAGTGGTTGGCCACCTTTGCCAATTGTAGAGAGTTTTTACATATTATCCTCTTATGGCAGATCTTTAACTGTTATGATATCATCAGCACATGTGAAATTTCTGTATCCATGACTAAATGTAAAGTAACATCCATACCCCAGCGAATCCAAGTCATATGAGGTAAATTAAATTCCAGACAAGCCTTCTCGCACTGTTGAAGATCTTCTAAGGGAGGCTGAAGAAATTGAGAGAAGAGCCAAAGCAAGGCAGAGTCCACCACCAGTGGATATATCATATGATAATGGTATGCAAAATAGATAATCAATGTCTATGTTTCATTTTAAGCAACATTCAAATATGTTTTATTTACATTACTAAAGTTTTCTTATAACAATCTTTACTGTCTTATACCTTATGTCTTTCTACAAGGGAAACAATTTTACTTTTCCAAATATGAGAATTTGGGTCATTTTATTTGAGGAATGAAATCAGCATGCTTATGTTGATGATTATATTAGTGCTCCTCTAGGAGATGGCATTGATTCAGGATTGAACAGACCGATTAGACCAGGTGTTAATTCTTGAGCCCTCTGATATTTAGGGTATTATGCTTAAGATTTAACTTAAACCATTATTTCTATGCAGGTGGTAGAGATGAGAAGTCAGATGACAGACCTGCACTATCCCCTGTACACAAAGAAGTCTCAATATCTGACCTGTTCAAGGACTTGGTATGTAGTCTGTAAAGGATAGCAATTAAAACAAATCGTAAGATCATTTAGTTGATTGATATATATTCGCAAAGAATGACTAAATAGGCCAGATGTAAACTTTTTCCTCCAAAATATGGTAGTTTTGAATTTGGTACATTATAATTATTGGTAAAATTTATGAATTCCTATTTCAATTTTTTTTTCTTTAGGATGAGCAGGACTATACGACACAGAATCAATTGGCACCTATAATTGAGCATTCTTCACCTAAACCACCCAGACCAGGTATTTTATACTGATAAACTTTGTTCTATTATTAGATTTTGGATATAAAACGGACCCAAAAATATTTTTATTGGTGTATTTCACCATAGAATTCTAAGTGATTTGGTCAGAAAATTGAAAAGAAAACAAGGTGACCATATTATTTCATGAATTATTTTCATTGATTTATTTTAGCTAAAAGATCTAAACCTAAGACCAAATATGCTGATATCCCTAGTTCAGGCTATGGGCTTAGAACCCCAACAAAGCCTAAAGGAACATCCTCCAGGAAAACTGCATGGTCACCAAAGGACACCATGAAACAAAAAATAAAAGGTCAGTTAAAGAAATTTGTAAAAAATTGATGTAAATCTGCAATAGCAGAAAGATTGCAGATTATTATCTCTTTTAGGCCGAAAAAGATTCTCGAACAATCTTGACATGTGCCCATACCAAACATTTTTGGAAGAGTATAACTTGCTAGACTGGCCCCAAGCTATTTGTTGGAAAATATGATGAATTTCAGAATGTTTATTACGTCGATATTACATCTTGTAAGTGACATATAAAAGTGTTATTGAAATGTATAGAACAATATAGAATTGAGATTTAATATAAACTTATTTTAGGCACAGAGACAATAACAGTGAAAGAGACAGGAAAGAGTAAAGTGGCAGATACCCATTTACTGGCATCAGTGGAGTCCTTTGCACAGTACATAAAGGAGCAATTTGGAGACAAGCCTGGAAGACACAGGGAGAAAACAGATGTGAGTGAAGATACAGATTATATGATCAAACTTCTATTTATGACTACATATTACAGAGCCTTTAATTGAGACACTTTTCTTATTAGGCTATTTGCATTTAAAACTTTTTATGTCACTTTTCTTCGTTGCAATTTACCATTCATAATTTTGCTATGTTATTAGGGAATATTAACACCAGATTTTCTGTAAGTTAATGATATCAAAACTTTACTTTTTGCAGGCACCTTGGCTTGAGGAAGAACCAATTATGTCACCACAGCAAAGAGAAGAGAGGATTTCACAAATTGGCAGGGAAAAGGCCTTGCAACAGGAAGTTAAAGACTGGCAGGAGCAGTGGAAGGAAGAGAGAAAGATGAATGTAAAGATGAGGGGTAAGATACCTGAGTGTTAGTTTGATATATGCAGGTTGTAACTAATTATACCTATGGGTCTATGTGATTGACAAACTTTAAACAAGATTGTAGATGACTTGAACCATAAAGGGCTGAATATTTGTAATTTCCCTCTGAATCTCCACATCTGGTTGGAAGCAACTTTCCCCAACATACCAAAATCTACTGGCATTTGGGTTCAGCTATTTGTAGGCTTGTATATAACAAAATGGTTAACTCACGAATGGTGCTTGTTTTATGGATTTTGCTTATTTATACATTTTTTAATTACTGCAAAATAAATTAATTGGTTATAATGTTATTTTTTTTACCTTCAGCTGATGCAGGAGCATTAGAAAGAGACTATGAAAGGAAGCTTGAAGAATACAAATTGAATTATGAGCAAGAATTGTTTAAACTGAAACAAGACAATTTTGTTCTTATGGCAAAGGTAAGACTTACCTCATCAACTAAGTATATGTTTAAAAATGAAATATCCATATATATCTAAATGTATTGTTCTGATTATAATGATTAAATGTTGGTGGATGTTGATAGATTAAAGTTAATGAATTTCTGTTGAATGGATCTTTGGTATGATTTTAAATTATTTCTTTTATTAGGTATCAGAAGCTGGACCAGAAGAAAGGGACAAAAAGAAGATCCTGGAGGGAGACAGCCTGGAAAATGTTAGCAAAGAACAAGTGCAATGGATGGAGAGAGAAATTAGAGAGCAGGAAAAGCTGATGCTGGGCTATCAGCAGGAGAATGAGAGACTTTACAAAGAAATGAAAGCTATGCAGATCACGAATAAAGCCACAGAAGAGAAAATGTTCAAAGAGAACCAGAGACTCACAGCAGAGATTGTGTCTTTAAGGTATGCAGAGGTGTGGTTTTTGTTTACTGTTTCCAGCAAATGGATATTGTTATTTTATTATTATTATTTTATTTTTATTTTTTATTTTTTGCTATGTGGCAGATTGCTTTCTACATATGCTATATGTTAATTGTTATTTTGTGTTTCTGTCCCATTTTTTAGAACACAGTTAGAAAGACGCGAGGTAGAATTGAAGAATAAAGGCATCATCACCAGCTCTCTGGCTCAGCAGCAGATAGTAGCAGGCAGTCCAGGCACAGCTATACTGGGAGCTGGCAGGATTGCACAGTTAAATGCAGAGCTCAGGCAGGCACAGGTATGGGGGTGAGGGGGGCATTTCTATTGTGAATTGATTTTACAGCAAAGTGGCTTTTGTTCCAACTCCTTAGCTGAATGGAAATTGAGGAGGAAGATTACACTAAATTGACTTCTTTATCAGTGCAGCAGAATTTTTGTCAATTTGACCAGTACTTACAAAGATTTTAAATCTTAATACTGGAGACTAACAGTTAGGTAATTATACCTTAAAAACACCATATAGAAAACTTTCATCACTAGCCTTGTGGTTTTGACATTGTAATGTGACCACTTAATAAAAAATTCTTTAATTGTAGAAAAGTATGTTGTTGTAAGAAAATGTTTGTAGTAAGAATATTGTTTCACTTATTTTTCTTTTATAATGTTCATTTTCTTTGTTACGTGCTCATAGAATTATTCTGATCACATGATATTACAGGACAAGATTTTAAAGCTGGAACAGCAACTGAAAACAGCAGAACAAGCCAGGACTGAACTTGAAAACCATATAGAAGTTATAGTCAGAGACAGAGAAAGATATGAGGACAAGATCAAATATGCCAAGGAAATGAAATCTCAGGAAATCATGGTTTGTATATGTTGTTTATTATAGGAGATCGTGTTTTGGCCTTTCATTGCACATCTGGTGTGGGTGGGATAATGAGAAACATTTTCCATACTCATGAACACTTTTTTAAATGCATGGTCACTGGATAAGTTACATATTGGCAAATATTAGGTTTATTTATTTCAAAAATTAAGCAGATTTTATATTACCAAATATTAGAATGTTTGTCTAATATGGATAAAACTGCACAGAGTTGTCTGATAAGATATATGTTACCCTACTTTTTAAGATTTCCTTATACATAAGTCTTAGAGAGCATTCAGATTCAGACATCTTACCAGCTGGGTTGGTCCATTTCTGCAGGGGATTCTTGCTAGGGGGTAATTAAGTGAAGTGCATATAGAAGTTAATTACCCCCTAGCTGCTTGAGGAGGTGTGTCAGACAAGTAAACTGATCCCACTGAATGACAAAATCCCCTGCAGAAATGGACAGATCAAGCTCGTAAGATGTCTGAATCTAAATGGGCCCTTATATAATATGCCTGTTTTATATTATGTCCTTCAGTCAGTGCAGCAGGAGCATGCCAAGGAGATCGAGAGGCTGAACAGGAAACTGAAGTGGTATGCTGAGAACCAGGAGATGTTAGACAGAGACTCTGATGCCTTGAAGGAGAAAAATGATGAGATAAGAAAACTCAAGAAGAAGATTGAGGATCTGGAGTCTGAGGTTTGTTAAATTGTGGTGATTAAATGTTTTTAAAAGTTTCTAAATGTTGAAAATTTTAATAAGTATAAATGTACATTTTTAATATTTATTATATTGATATTATATTATATTATAATATTATTATATTCATATGAAATAGTTCACTTAATACTACATTTATGGGTTGTAATGGTTTAAAACTTTCAGTTGACAATACATATTGTTTTACCGTAGGACAAAAAAACTTTGACACTTTGAGCAGATTTCATATTTGTCATTTGAGAAAGATATGTATCATATTTACTTCTTAGAGTGGAACCAGGCAACTAGAACAGAAGGCAAGAGCAAAAGAAAGATCCACAGAAGCAAAGAGAATACAAGATTTAGAGAGACAGGTAAGGATTGCACAACCCACTTCAAGCTTAATACAAATTTAGAGTTAGTGTCTTCAAGGTTTTGTTGTGAAAAATAGTAATCATGCCTCTAAGTCAACAAAATTCTTTTACATTTGATTTCCTTAGGTTAAAGAAATGGAAGCAATAATGAGAAAACGCCACCCAAACTCCTTGCCTTCCCTGATATGGGCTGCATCTCAGGTACAAGATCCAAAGTCACCAACCAAGGGACCTAGTGTGCAATTCCTGGAGAAACAAGTGAAGAAACTGGAGGCAGAGTTAGACAAGAAGGACGAAGAGGCTAAGAAAGGCCTGAGAGTGATGGAGCAGAAGTACAATGCTATTAAGGTAAGAAATCTGTCAATTATTGTTTATTAATTTGGTGATATTCTCTCTCTCTCTCTCTCTCTCTCTCTCTCTCTCTCTCTCTCTCTCTCACACACACACACACAAAGAAATAAGACAAAGACTAATATAAAATGTAAATTATAAAACCCTAACAATCAGGATGGTAGGTTATGAATTGATCTTCACCTGTCTCCTTTACACACCCTCATGTTTAAAAAGTATCATATTTAATGAATGATCTCTGGAAAATGCCTGAAAAAAGCAATTTCCAATAACTTTGATATCAGACAAATGCATTTGTTATGGATAGAGCACATTACATGGCTGGCAGACAGCTATTTTTATGAAATATTTACGAAGACAAATTATTATTTTAGTTTCAGTACGAGGAGCGTATACATGACCTTGAAGATCAACTGTACAAGTACAAAGCAGCAGATGCGTCAGAGTTGAGAGCACACCCACACACAAGCACTGTTGCCCTCCACAAAGAGCTTGATGCTGTGAAGGACAGACATAAGAAAACTGTGGCAGAACTGGAGGCTGAGATTGAAAGGTTGAAGAAAGAGTTAACGACCTTGAAAAACAAAGAAAAGGGTTTGTTGTATATTTGTATATAAGCTATTAAAAAAATGGCTGTTGTAGGTTAGTTAAAAAAATATAGCCTACTTGTTCTGCGATATTAGTTTCTTAAAATATATGTAACTGTGTGTTTTGTATAGATTTTTTTTATATGTGTAAGGTAATTTCACAAATGTTTTTTTATTGATGATGCAAGACTGAGGCAAATATGATTAACTCAATAATATATATCTGTTTTCATTTTTACAGCAAGTTATATTTTGTAATTCACAAAATACAAGATTTTCAAAGGTGTTTGACCATTCCTTTAATCTCTCTGTGTAAAGTGGTCATGGGGAATTTTAAGCATGACTCTAATTTATTTCATTTTTACATATTCAAGTATATGAATTAATATGGTTTTATCAATGTTCATAATCTCCAGCTGCAGCCAAAGCAGAGGCCAAGGCAGCTGTAGAAGCTGAGAGTGAGCTGGAACTCAGAGTGAAAGCATTGAGTCTTGAACTGGTCAACAAAGATAAAGAAGTAGAAGTACTGAGAAAGATGGTAAATCAACTAGAAATTGAGAAGAAACATGTTGAGATGGATGCTTTGAGGCAAGCAGTCAGGCCAGGAGAAAAAGGTACAATTCATTACTGTTATTAAAACAGGATGGACCATTATACAGTTTATATGTAGAACTGTCTTGTTTTGAGTGTTAAATGTTTATAGGTTAAAGGCTTGTAAAGTCTTATAAAGCATATGAATGAATATAACACTTTTATGCTTTGATTATTGATAAATCTTAAGTAGAGTAACACTACTTTCTGCTTATTATATACACATCAAGCACAGGAGAAATGTGAATGCTGGGAAAATATATTAAATTTTTTTCAGTGGTGAACATTTAAATTCTTTTATAGGAAAAACAGTTGTCAAAGGAAAAGGAAGAGGAAAGGCTGGCAAGAAGACATCACCACGTGATCCTGCAGAGCAGCAAGAGAAACCACAGGTTTTGCCAGTCTTTCAGGAACCTTATGTGAATGGGAAAGAATATGAACCCAAGACTTTTTCTGGATCTCATATATCAGATGTCCAAAGAGAAAATGAAGAGTTGAAAGCACAGGTATAGTTGTGTTGATTTTTTTTTTTTTTTTTTTTTACATCCAAATATGATGTTTTTGACTAAAAGATTAGAGAGATGAACATTCACTTATACATTAGTAGGGACAGGAGTTGAATATAATTGCCACTGAAAAAGGCTACTGTAACAAAAGTTAACATTTTGATTATTGTGTGTATGGTCTTTATCCATCAGACATCTGCAGAACCTTCTTAATTAATTTATTATTATTATTTTTTTTTTTGGCAAAGCATCAAGAATTTTAAAAAACGAATCTAAGAATTGAGCAACATGTTGAATAGAACATATAAATATGGATAAATGTACAGTCATTTTAATTAAATCATTAAAATTTTGTTATTCTGTAGGTTGACCAGTTACAGCTAGAGTGTGACCATCAGAGAATTAACATGCAGAAAGCAGTTGCTGAGGCAGAGGCATCTAGTAGAAGGGCAAGGGAAGATATGGCAGAACAAGTAGGCTATATTTTTTTGTTTTTTACATTGTGTTTTCTGTACTTGTGACTACTTATTTTAAACAATTAGCTGTAATGGTATTAGTATGAGAATTGATACTTTCTGACATGAAATATTGCACAGTAAGCTGTCAGATTTTTCAATCAAAAAAAAAAATTTTTTTCTGCATGAATAGATGGCAGCACTTAGAAAAGCCCACCAAGATGAGCTCCAGAGGATCCTGACTGACCATGCCATGAAGCACTCCACCTCCAAACTTGTAGAACTGCAAAGTAAAGTGGACTCACAGCAGGTAAGAAACTTACAGAATATCTCTGCCTGTCACTAGATTGTTATCTATGATAGATGGGACTATTTTATGCAGATAAATAATTTCAGTTTTCCAGATGCCCTGATTCACTCACTTTGGACATGGTTTTTGGTAAGCAAGTGGTCAAACAGATTTATGTTGTGGATTCATGAAAATTTTCTACTTGAATATTGGGCAATGTAGTTTTTGGTAGAGAATAATGTATTTGGTTTTAGAAATGAAATTCAGGTATTTGAAAAGACAGGTTTGCGGGTGATTATATAAGTCAGTGAAAAATGCAGTGTGACTAGAACAAAATATAGAGCATGATTTTTTAACAGGTAATGTTAAAGCACCTGAAAGAACAACTGGCCCAGGCTGACATAGATAGAGAACAGTTGTCTGCAGCTAGAATTAGAGAAACTGCATTGGAATCCCAGGTGAAACAGTTACAGGATGACCTCAGGGAGGCCAAGAAACATCACTCACCAGTAAGTGAAGTTAACTGTCTTGTACAAATATTGTGAATAAACTGCTATTGAAAAAGAATGCACATTTTAGGTCCTTGTACATCTGAATAATTATCATTGGTTTATAATCATACTCTCTTATTTTTCATTTATTTAAAAAAAATTGAGTTCATTATCTCTTTGTTACTGGTGCTAAAATGCAATTTATTCAAGATAGATATTGAAAGGTGAATATTTTAATTTGCAGGAAATGAAACACTTTGAGGCACTGCATGAGAAAATTACACAAATGGAAAACAGGCACAGGCAAAGAGAGCAAGAACTACAACAGATCATCCGAAACACTAAGCTGAATGCCGGGGTGGAACTGAATAGAGAAGTAGACAAATGGAGACGCATGGTGGAGGTGAAAAATCAAGAGACAGAAAGATTTAGGATAGAGCTGGACTCCATATTAGAAGTGCTGCGAGAGTTACAGAGACAGGGTGTTTCTATGCCTATGGGTGAAATTAGGAGTTTCAGGACGTCTTGATAATTGTCCTTTTATAATTTTGAGTGTGCCGATAAAAAGTTCCATGTTAAATCACCAGCATGGCCATGTGCTAAATATCTTCATATGAGCAAGGTTTACAGTTTTCCCATCTATTTTATAGGCCCTTAAATGTATAATGTTGGTAATCAATTTGAAACATCAAAGTAAAATGCAAACAGAAAACCATTTGATAATTACTTTTATCTTTTATCATTAGAGCAATTGTCTTGATCATTACCTCAACAAATGTAGAAAGTTGTGGTTTCATTTGAAATAAGTGATAAAACTAATTTAATTTGGTAGAACAAAAAAAGGAAATGTTTATAGTAGTACTTGTATGATTTTTATAGTATTTGACAGGCACTGAATATTATGCATTTAATGATTTGAGTGCCTTTTAAGAATCTTACATAATTGCTTCAAATACCGTAAAATGTTATTAAGAAAAGAAAACTTGAGTGGCATAAATGAAATTAAATGGAGATCATTTGAAAGAGAGGTAACTTGGTTCATCATATTATTGTAAAAAGAGTTATCATTGACAACATGAACTTGACAATATCCTGTGTTGAGGTTTAATGGTAGGTTTATGTGAACATTCATGACCAAAATATCTGCATAAATTGAAACATTACTATATTTTGTACTAGTTTGACTTCTAAATTTAAGTCTGTAAATCTGTATATATGTACAAAGTGTGTATATAAATGTATTTATATTTATTAGCGATTTAACTTATTTATGTAAATAAGGAATTACGCCAATAAATAACATTGATTGATTTACAAAAAGAAAAAGACCTATCTCAAATTTTGTTTGGAAGTGTGTTGATATTGTTATCACTACTGCTTGTGCAGGATGATGGTAAATCTGATAGTAGTCTCTTTAAAAAATGATATGTAATCTGGTTATCATTATTATTTTTCATTATTTTGCAAAGCACTTGTAATTTTTACTGCTGATGGTAGTGCACTATCTTTCAATACTTTGAGTCCAGAAGAGGCATTTACCAGATGACTCCCATTTTTTCTATTCCGTTTTGTGTCCTTTTCCTCTGATGCAGAACCTTTGTTATCAGGGAAGACAGATTTGACAGGAGTTTGTGGGCAAGTAATATTACTATGCAAGTCTTTCCAAAACTGAAGCCTGGTTGAGGTGAAGATATTGTGGAGACTTGAATATTGAGTGAAGTTACAGTAGGAATAATTCAACCTCGAGGCCATAAATCCAGGGTTGTGAACGGGGAAGATTCCAGCTTTTTTAGCGGCTATTCCTATGAATGCATCTTCCATTGATAAGTATGGTTGTGTTATGGCCGTTTTGTAAATGGCGGAGGCAGCTTTGTTGGCTAAGATGTACAGCGGGCCCTGTATGTATTCTGGGTACTTTTTATCTGGATATTCATCGCAGCCGACGTACCATTTGTGCCATTTCAGACGCAGAGGCTCCTGACTGCTTACAAGATTTCCCATGTATAGTTTTTCACCGCTGCCCGAATGCTGGATGTCTTCAAGTATTTTTATAATTTGGTCATATCTTATTATCATCTCCACCTCACTTTTCATGAAAAATACATAGTCGGGGCACATTTCTTGAGCCCACTTTAATGCTAGCAATGTTTTCAGTGTGAGGTTGCGATAGGAGTCTACAAAGTCAAACTGGACTATGTCTTTGTGGATCATATTCTCTCTGTTAATTTCATATTGTAATTCCTCCCTTTGTTTTGCCATGCTCTCTGGGTAGCTTGCCAACATGAAAAAAGTTCTAATTTGATGCCCACCAATTTCTCTGTATTGACCCCAAGTTTTTCTGAAGATCTTACGCAATCCAAATTCATCTTGCCTGGTAGTTATGCAGGCTAAAAGATAGATTTGCTTTGAGGTGCCAGTTCTTAAGCCAGACCGATTCATCTTACAGATGTCTGAGCCATTGATTATCATTGGATAGGTTTTGAACCAGTCTGTCTTTGGAGGTTTTCTAAACTGCTTTGGGGGACAGACTTCGTTTGTCTGCAGCACTTCTCCTTTTTTGGTATGAACATCTCCCGCATGAACAGTTTTATTCAAATTCTGATTTATTTGGCTTTGTAACATCTTAATACCCGCTGATCCATCTTCCTTAGCTTTTTCAATTCTCAGTTCCCTGTTAGACATATCTATAGCTTGCTTCTGTTCCTTGTGAAGGGTAATAATGTTGGAATTGGCAGCTCCCTCAGAGATGTTATTATCTAATTGTTCAGGCTTATCTTTTTTCAGTTGTGCAATAATGGAAGACCTCCTGCCACCAAATTGACTTCTGTTTTCAGTTGTTTCTTTCCTTAATTTTTTATCAGAATGTGAAAGGTCATATTTTTCACTTTCGTAAGACCTTTTGCTATATCCCAAACTATTAATTTTTTCATTTTCTGTCAGGGGCTTCCATTTTTTATCTCCACTTTCCATTTCTTCATTGTGGTAGTAGTGGGTTTTCTTATCCAAATATCCATTATCTTTCGAACTATCACCTTCAGACTTTCCTCTCCTCCTGTTTTCCACAATATAATCATAGTTACTAGTTTCATCAAAGTTTTTTGTGAGTTCAGACCCTATGGCCTCTAAGGCCTCATTTTGTGATAATCCTCGCTTCAAGGTAGAAGTAGGTTCGTGCAGACCAGGTCCTGGTGTATTTCCACGTGGGTTCACAAGAGAGATCCTGGACTTGGTATTGGACACTACTAGCACATGAACACCCTCATAGAGAACATTAAGAATGGTCACAAAAAATATCAAACAGAGACAAACCACAAGAGTATTAATTTTGGCCATTATTGTCAGTTCTCTGGTAGTGATTTTCAACCCGTTTTTGGTTCTGGAAAAGATTCAGCTAAATGTCCAGGTAAGACCTTCAGTGTTGGGTTATTACTATAGCAATGGTACCGCCTAAATACTTCTTAGTCTTCAGGTTTTTCCAACTCCACTGATTACAGGTTGATGACAACTTTTCTCCCTCTTAATTTGTAGATTTAAAATACTCTTTCCTGTTGAGAAAATTTTTACATGTGACCTAGATTAGTTGTGCTCCCTTCTGTATGGCTGCATCCTAAGTATTTAATTATACCAAACATTAATTCAAAATAGGACATTTAAAGTCATTCTTTCTCAACGTAAGTAAACCACATACTTGCGAAGTAAAATGTGTCTTTTAGGCCCATATGTGTAATGGCTGTTAAGAATGTATCTTTAATGTATGGCCTTCTTGCACATCATGGTTACAAGAAAATTCCCATCTATTTTGCCAACATTTCAAACACCTATTGGTCAGTTCTAAAAGACAAAAAAAAAAAAAAAAAAAATCTTTAAACCACAATAAACATTTGTCAAATTTTTATTTACAAAATAATGAGACATATATGCAGTAAAATATGCTACTTGAATTTATTTTGAAAACTGAAATTAAAAAAGATTTAATCATCAATTTTTTACAAAAAATAAGGTGGACCACACAGATAAAAATGTGGACTTTTAATGCAATGGCTACAGTGCTAGCAAAGCAGTAGCTCAGTTATGATCATGTTAACTTTTATCTGAGTAATAAATGACCAGCAAATAACGCAGGTAGAATAGCTTTTAATTTTTCATTACCTCCAATAATACATAAGTTACTCTAAATTACCCCAGTCAATTTGTAAACTCATCACAGAGAAACGATTTCAGAAATCGGGAGATTAAATTAATAATGTTAGATTTACAGTAATAAATCACATTGTAAATAAATAGCTCCTATTTTCTAGGATAAAGTCATAAATTTTTAAGATAAATGATGAGGAGACAGGATTTTTTTTTACTTAAAAATTTAAGCTATAAAGCTGCACTATCCCAACACCTGTAGCTGCACCTGTTTACTACTCCATTTCTTTGTGATCCACTGATAAGAGGAATTCATTCTACTTTGTATAGCACAAATCTTTTACTTTAAGCTATTTTATATGGTAAAATAAAATACAGATATCGTCTATTGGCCTAAGTAAATAATGATTTTTTTTAAATTATATAATATGGACGGAAACTTATAATAAATAAATGCTGTTGAATTACAAAGGAAAATGCAAAACAAAGCAAAATATGCATAAAAATAAAAAGCTAAAATAAATATTAATTACAAGGACGGTCTGCAGATTTCAGACAAAATTACGTTTGTACCTGTAATGCATTTTTGCCATTTAAAAAAAAGGGACTTTTAAATTAATTTATAAGGTTAAAAGTTGCAGCTTTAATGCTAAAATGGATTGACATTTATGCTGATAAATACTGGGGAATATCTGTTTGCAATACACATTCAATTTACTGTGAAATTGAAATTCTTTTTCTCCAAATGATCAATTACAACATAAATCCAAATGACTTAACTTGACAAGAAAAAAATAGTATAGTGACATACTTTCTAACATTCTGTAATGTCATTTGCAAGTAGCACTAAATTGGTGGGATGAGCAACAGCTAATTGTAATTGCACAAATTTTCACTGGAAGCTATAATTTACATTGATGCTTCGCATGCTCTCTGCACTGCAAAGGACGAACAATTCATAACATATCAAAATGTATGATATGGCATTTAAATCAAGTACAAATTCAGGCTGCATAACTTAGAGATATTCATAATATTATCCAACTTTTGTCTCCGAATCTCAGGTAGATTACCCTGAAGATATATCCATGGCAACTCATTCTGCAACTGAATATTTGGATGCCTGAACAGTTACCGTAGCAACACAAAAGGAAGCCAGCCTTATTTGCATATAAATACACACATACATATGCAGACAACAGAACAACAGCAAAGTGTAACACTGAACAATGCCTTGATTACAGCATGCTGATAAAGGTTGATGTACATCTGTAGCTATCTTTCAGAGTAATTGAAAGTTTCTCCTCGTTCTAGCCAGCTAGACAGAGTTGCAGAAACTACAATATATACCATATCATAGGAAAGTATTGTATAGGGTGCATATATGTAAAACCATATTGCACACCCAAGTCTCCACCAGTCTGAAGTCTTATGACTTAACATTGGCAACTTTCTATACTTCTTATATGTGTTCCTTATCTTACAGTAATTTTAAAGGTCCCATGACTTTTTCAGAAATTCTAACCACATATTGGGAAGACTTGCTCAGCTCAGATGATGATATAAGTAAATGGTACATATTTCTGCTAGAGGCAGAAGATAGGCATTGCTTTCTCAACAAGTCAGAGCTTAAGAAAGTTGCCAATATCCTAGCAGAAGATTAAAAAATGACACTAATTTCTCCTTACACATGCCTTTTAAGCAGTTGAACCCTTACAGTGTTAATTCATTGCAAGGACAAGAATTAATCCAGCAGTTTCATTTCCTGAAACCACTCAGTTTCTTTTTCTCTGGGCTTTTTAAGAAGTCTAGATTTCTAAGAATAACCCTGTGACAGCATCGAAGTACGTAAATAACACCCACACTTCTTATAGAATGCCTGCTCTGTAATCCAGAGCTCAGCAACAGAATTTCAAGTGCAGCATTAAATATGTGACTGAATTTCAGTTAAAGCATGCCCTTAACATAAACAGAGACAGTTAATAGAACCGGTAAAGTCTCCCAGTTGCTGCGTTGAAGTGTGTCTTTCCTCGCACACTATCTGATGCCGTTTTTCTGTGTAGTGCTGAAGAAGGGTGCTGGCCTCGAGAACCATTCGGCTGGAAAAGGTCAAATATTTTATTAAAATTTAATAAAGTAATAAGTAATAACTTTTTATTTTTTAAATATAATAGTTACTGTAAGTTTATAGGAAATGTATTTAGATGTGTGTTGCTGAAAAAGTATAATCAATCTATCATTTAAAAATTGTGTAAATATTAAAGAGAAAAACCAGAGCAAACATCTGGCAAAAATAAAATAAATATAGAAAAATGCGTGGAAACCAAAACTTTAAAACATTAAAAAATCATCATCACCCTCCAATCTTTAATATTAACCAAAATATGAGAAGGAAGAATCCCATGTCATCATGCAGTTTTATGTGAATTGTATCATAAAAGTAAAATAAATTATCATACGTTTTGATTATTCTCAAGCAAATGTTATTGACTAGCTTAGAGATAAAATAAGAAGTAGACAAGGTCATAGTTTAAAAGACCACACCTTACTACATTTAAGCTGTATATAACATTTAAACAATAACTACAGCCCATACTGAATTGTTATAAGCTACAAGACAAGTCTGTAAAACAGAAATCTGGTATTCAAAATTGACATTTGTTAAAATGCTCTAAAAGAGCTCACTAATATATGCGTAATATACTAATATTTCCAATTCAAAACACACTGTATATAAAAAGCAGCTATAATGACTTCATAGATGCACATCACCATTCAAAAAAAATGTTATGAAAATTCACATCTAATAATTTCATGCATTTTCTTTCCATAGATGTTACCTTTCATCAACCTCAAGTTTTCCATGATGTTACTGTGATCAAGGAGTGAAAGGTAAATTTGGATTAGTAGTTGTATAGTGATGGTAAGGAGATCTGAGATGTGTTATTGATTTTCAGCATGTAAATTGTCTGGTCTGCAAAATAAGCTGTGTTAAGAAAGTGCTATGAAAATTTCTAATTCACCAAAAATTTTCTTTTTCTTTTGAATTAAGACAGTTCATATAGCTAATATGTTTCCAACAAAAAACAGCACTATAAATGTTATTTCATTTTTTAAAATTTAGACCAAACATTTTACATCACTGGATATGGTGTTCTAAATCAGCGCCCCGAGTTTCAGAATACTGATGACCACTCTCCTTTTCAGATGTTGTTAAAACAATAGTGAAATGTAGAGGAAGTCACAGTTTATTCAATGAAACTCAGGGTGTTATGCCTGACTAAAATTTTGCCCCAATTTCTGAATACTAATAGCAATCCAATATATATATATATATAGGCATATCATTATAATTGCTATCTTACATGGAATAGGTGTTACTTGTTCTTCTTCTGTCTATTTAAATGAAAACAAAACAGCAACAAAATGATGAAAAGTGCAGACTATGCATAATAGTATTAAAATAAAAAAAGTTAAAATTAGTTAAAATTGAAGCAATTCACTCAATATCTAGTTTCAACATTCAACTGTGCTGGTAAAAAAGGTGCCATCTTTCTAAACAACATTAAACAAAAATGCAAGTGTGAACACTGAATTATGCAGTTTAGTTAACACCTACTTACACTACATAATTTGGAAAATAAACTTTGCTACATCATTATATATGTTTATGTTGTGCAATTAACTTTGAATGTCAATACATTTCTCTAACACATACTTACCGGGTTAGGTTGCTTCTGCTGGGATGCAGGACTTGTGCTATTATCTGTTACCACTGAAGAACAAGTAAAAAAAACATGAAAGATATGAAAAAAAAAAATGAAGTAAAAAAATTGAAAACTCCATAGAAGTAATAATTTTATATTGGAAAAAATTTGGAAAAAACTGCTAGGATTTTTACATCAAATCTAAAAATAAGCCACAACATTAGAAACCGTTCAATACAACAAGGAATCTAAAAGTCATAATGTTAACCTAATATACAACCCCCCTCTAATTTGTCATGTTGATAATAATCATTCCACTTGGAACAAATTAGGAATATCCAATTTTGTAATAAAATTCAGCTGAAATTACATGCAAATGTTAGCACCCCAAAGTTTAAGCATAATGAAATGAACAGCCCAAATCAGGGCTATAATTTGTAATACCTCACTAATCCCTACCCACTCTGTCATGAATGAAACATTAACTATAGACACATTACATGTAAATCAACCCATCCTCAGGCTTTCTTTGGAAACAGATCACCATTTCTTGGTTAAGGGGAAGAGTTCAATCAATAGCTATAGAGATTTCGAGGTCTCTAAATGCTTCCTGCATTATCATGCTCAAGAGAATGCATTTTACTTTGGAAACTTTATCATTACCTACTTTGCACAGAGGATCTTTTTTTGCGAAAGAGAAGGTCATTTTAAGCACAGAAACAGGATACAGGGAAAAGAAAAATCAAAGATAATGACAGAACCAAATGGCAAAATAATGTCTGGCTGAATTTGCCATGGTGGTATTTCACAACTTGGCTTCTGATAATTAATTTGATAAAAGTGAACTATTGATTTAATATGATAAATCTCAATTATGCCAATTCAAAAGGTAAGTCTATTAAATTGACAGAGATAGAAATAACTGCCAAATGCTAGTGCTTTTCAACTGATAAGGTTAGTGCATTTTACAGTCCAGATAATAACTAAATCAGGAGAGTGAATTTATTCCTTCATTTTTTTTCTTTTTGTGTAAAAAAAATTCAAAATGATACACCATGATGCGTCTTTAATGCTCAGAAATACGGGGATTTTGAGATAATGGAGTTGTGTTTTTCTCTATGTGTAAAAAACAGTCTTTTCCTGCACCTGTTTACACATTTCACACTAATATTTTTTAAACTGAATAAGGCTATTTGAGCCAGAGAAAAATGTTCATATTTTATCTGTGCCTTAAAGGTAAGTATTCCTACATGTTTTGCAACAATATTCTTACCTCTTAATCTTTCATTTAACCTGTCAAGAGACTGTAGGAGTCTTTGTTCTTCAATAGAAAGAGCAGTGGGTACTGAAAGGGCGAAAAAAAAAACAGAAACACATTACTCAAAATATTATTATTATTATTATTATTATTACTCAGTAATTACTAAAAAAATTCACACACCCTCACTTCAATATATTACTTTTTCAAGATTTACCAACTGAAAAGGATTTTAACAAACAAAAACTACATTTTATCTTTTAAAGTTTTGACTAATTTTCTTTTTTCCAAAAAAATGCAAATCTAGTGCCTAACTACAGAGAGTACATTGCACTGTGAGATTTTCATATCAAACCAAGTCAGTAAATGACCCCGATTTCTTCAATTAAATGACCCGACTTCTTTCATTTGCAGCACACAGTTCATCTGCACATTGCTGTCACAGAATAATCAATCGATATCATATCAATGCAGCATTTTACCTTTCTGTGCTGGCCTGGCAGCATTGGCCACTTGCTGTCTCTGCTGTGCTAGCTCCATAGCATGGTGGATATCTGATTCAGACATAGACTGGTGGTTGCTCAGGGCCTCCCCTGTCAGGAAGGCTGCCATACTTTCACTTACTACAATGACAAAAAATAAACTTGATGGCCATGTCTTTTAACAAGAACTGATAAAAACTGCTTAAGTAAATGGTTAACTTTACTTCAAAGATATAGAGATTTGTTAGAAAGGCTACAATAGCTTTTCTTCCTCTACGTTTCTTACAAAGGGAACTGATAATACTGTTATTCTTAAGGCTTTTCTAGAAAAAAAACTTCATAAAAAAAGAAAAAGAAGGAAAAAAAAATACACACAGATGTATGTTTCATTTTAAATAGCAAAGTAACAGCCTGACGATATTTTTTTTTCAAAATTTCTTGGGATGGAAAAAAAGGCTAAGGACAAGCACTAGTAAATGATCTACTAAGATATAACTAGAATAAAATAAATTTTTAAATTGCTAATAAATAAATAAATAAATAAATAAATAAATAAATAAATAAATAAATAAATACTCATTTGACATTAATATGTATAGACTAGCCAGTACTCACCATCCTGACCTTGGCCAGCACCATTCACAGCAGTAGGTGGTTGATGACTGGGGACAGGGTGCTGATACACCACGTACTGCAGGGGAGCCCCTCCCTGCTGTAAATGTTTATACTGATTTCCTGCTGCCGCCTGCTGCTTTCTCTGTTGCAACAAAGTCGTTCGATTTCCAAAACCACCATCACTTCCTGTGCGTCTTCTCGCAAAATTCTGATCAACAGTACTTCCATCCTTAATCATTTGAGCTGTGATTTTGGTGACTTTTTGTGGTCTTGAAGTTGCTATGGTGCTGGGAGTCCCACCACCGAGTAAACTCGTCCCATCGATGAGTTTTTGAGAAACAGGGGCAGTTTGTCTATAAGTGGCAACTGTAGAATTTTCTGAGTTCATAGAAGGTGGTACCCCACTATCAGTTGTCCCTGAGCTTTTCGAGTCCCTATTCAGGCACGTTCGAACCTTCTCCCATAACCAGTTGATTTCATCATCGGTGGGAGTTCGGTCCAATCTTAATCCATTTGCATCGTAGGTAGGTTCGGGGTATTTAGGTTTATGATCCCCATTCCCCCCATTGTTCTGACTAACTACTGGAGCACCGGCAGAAGGTTTACTGGTATATGTGTTAGTGGAAGGCGGAGTATAACTGGCACCGGCTGTGTGTACTGTAACAGCACCACCTGGTGTGGGTTTTCCGGACTGCTTATTTTGCTCATACACTGTAGCATTTGTATAGGTCATCACAGCTGGACTTTGATGCTGGACACTGGTGGTGTTTGAGGAGGGGTCACTCCTGTTAGAGTACACAGTTCTCTGACTAGTCGCCGTGGGTGTGAAGGCTGGCTTAGGCTGTATGTGGCCACCTCGTCTGACCACGCCTGCACTGATTGACCGAGCAGTGACCACTGTCTTCTGAGAGGTGGCCGTAGGAGTGGTCTTAGCAGATACTGCTCTTGCTATGGGAGGTTTCTTGTCTGTCTGTGGAATGGTTTTGACTATTTTGGCTGTAATGAATTTGAAGGAAAGCTGTAATAATTGCTGTACTTATGACAAAAAAGTAATTCACGATATTAGAAAAAATATATTTCAAAAACATGTTCTATATGTGAAAAGTTATTCTGCTTTAATATGGTAGGATATATCTTATCACTTTTAAATATAAAAAAAAAAAACTACACAGACTAGTCTGAGCATTGTTTCTTTTCAAGATAAATAAGTTGGAAGGGTGCTAACTTAAGAGAAAAAGGTCATTTCTTATTAATCTCAGCATAATAAAGCATTTGTATAAATAAATAATTGAGGAACATAAAGTTGAATACATGAATGAAATAAATAAAATAAAATAAAATAAAATCTGTAAAAATAAATCAAAGTAAATACCTTGCTCCTCCTGTTTCTGTTTCTCGCCAGGTTTGGCCCTGTACACTGTCTCCTCAATGGCCTCCTCCTGGCTGTCCTCACCACTGTCCTCATCCTCGTAGGCCAGGTCAGCAAACCTCACTGATTTCTTCCTCTTGTGCTGTAATATTAGCCAATTTAGTTGTTTTTAAACCAATAAAGGAATAACTGAAAAGCTGAACAAAGTTTTTAAAAAAGCATGTGCAAATATTGGTTCAAATATTTACCTTAATAGTGGGCCCTTGAGATTTTTGCTTCTGTGAACTGATTTTTGAAATTGACCCGACAGAACAATGTGATAGAGGAATCATTTTTTAACCTATTTAAACATTTTACCATAATTGTTATCTCTAGCATCTTATACCAAAATTATTAATATCAGGTGCAACTGACTTTTCTTTTTAACAAGAATAATATAGCTAAAAGAAAAACTATTCAAGGGAAAAAGATCTTACAGAGAGAGAAAAAATACCGTAAAAAATAAGTTTAACCACGCTTCTTCAACTAACTTGCTATTGCTATTGATATATATCTAGAAACTAACAAATATAAAGAGAGTAATTTGGATAACAGTAACCCAGCTAGAATAAAAGTTAAGCACTTCAATAAATGAGCATATAATTCACACAATGAGGACACTATTACATTACTCTGTACAGTTTATATACCTGTAAAATATGAGCCTTAATTTCCTTTGTCAAATAAAATTCAGTGGAAAAGCAAACTAAAACTCCTATGACCTAGATATGAAACAAGTGCCATTGGCACTTTTGTCCATTGGGACAAAATGTCCAAATAGACACACTAACAATCCCAAATAAATTCACAGACTATTCTTTAAGAAATGCATTTACTTCTTTAAATTTGGACAAAACCTCCAAATAGACAAGCTAATGTTGGCAAATACAATTACTGCCTGTGCTCTTTCGGGGATACTTGTAATGTGATATTTGTATTATAACTGTCATTGCTGCTGGCTATTACCTGATTCAATAGAAAGTCAAGTAAAAGTTTGTATCCTTTGAGATTTTTTAAAGGGATAATTTGTGAAAATAACTGAAAACATCATGGAAGTCTTTGAATATTGAAGATGAAGTTAAGTTTCTAATTATCTAATTTTCTGGCTGTCCCAATTGGTTTTCTTTTTCACAGAATCCAGATATTGGCATGCATGTATTGGGTATGATTCAGTGGTTTTTTATTGTGTTCCTCTACTGCACTAAAAGCATTCTTGGCAGTGTCATTGGTATCTGTATTAAAAATAATATCCATTACTGGGAGGATCCCAATCCTGATGAGTTGTAATCAATTTTTGTCTGCCAGCCTAAATCAATTTTTTTTATCTCACAAACACATTCAACTACTTTACCTGCCTGTTATTCAGGAAAAATGCATTAATGTTGACCCAGACTTTTAGAAAATAATAATCCTTCAAATTGGGCATCTCGTATAGTGAATTGATATTGCCTTAAAACTTAACAGTAGAACCTGCATAGGTATGTAAAGTCACCTTGTAGAAAAGATTTTTTTGAAAAGATTTTTTTCTTAAGTATTAACTGAAACTTTTAAGTATCAGTTAAAAGAACATTGCCCAACATTGTGTAATTTTTCTGGTCCCTAAGTATCTGAGTTATGCAATGTATATTAAACTGTTCAATGCAACCTTTAGCTCACCTTTTTCTCCTGTTTTTGCTGTTGTATATGTTCCCTATTCAGTTCAATGCTGTCTTTCACCTCGTGACTGCCCACTTTGGGGGCACTAGTCGTTCCAGTTTGTCCTCTGGAAAACACTGTCCTGGAATGTGGGGCCGACTTGACCGGAGAACGTTTTAAAATTCCCCTGGGTTGCGTCTTACTGGGATCCGTGGCATCTGAGCCTCCTACGGATCCCTCTTGTTCCTCCTGTGCTGATTCCTCTCTCCTCTGCTCAGCACCACTTAAATTGGACCCTTTTCCTCCGGGAATCTGATTCAAATCCTGATCCCTGGCACCATCTACAGTGCGTTCTTGCCTGGAAGGTTGTGGAACGTCTCTGTAGACTGCACTCACAGCTGGGTGGGAGGAAGGCGAGGCAACCGCACTAGGACCGACCCCCATAGATGGATTCATATAAGCACTAGTTATACTAGTTGCTGCTGTCTTAGAGCTGTAGGGCCGAGTGTATCTGCCCTGTTGCTGCTGCTGCTGTTTTGTATCTAAAGGGGGTTGAGGCTGGGGTGCAGCCCCCTCTGGCTGTCCATGACCATCCCCTGTATCAGCAGGAGAAGGAGAGGGAGTCCCCCAAGCTTTAGTATGAATATTAAATGCACTAGTCCTATACCTCTCAGCCTGGAGTTCTTTAACATAATTTGCTGTTTCAGCATAAGATGGATAAGACGGTCCATTAGATATTGTCTCAGTCCTGCCAGAATAAGAAGACGTATATGGCTGTTGATCCTTATTGTTATTATCACTATGAACACCAGTATCCTGGTCTGTAGCCCTCTTTGGCTGAATGCCACTTTGGGGTTGTGAACCTGAACTGAGACCTCTATTAACTGTACTTGTACTGCTCACGTTATTTGATTTGTACATATTGTTATCAGTGGTAATAGATTTTGCATCTTGTCTATTCACCAGCTGATCCTGAGCATGACTTTGTGTATAAGTATTAAACTGCGTGTGTCTAAATACATCAACCCCACCCACAGTCCTGCTTTGGCTAGGCTGAGCGTATGTCTCAGGCCCACTTCTGCCTTGATTGGGCTGAGAATAGTCTGCCCCAACTCTGCCTAGGTTGGGCTGTGAATTTATTTCTGTGCCAACTCTGCCTAGGTTGGGCTGTGAATTTATTTCTGTCCCAACTCTGCCTTGGTTACTAGACTGTGAGTAAACACCAGTGTTTGTAGTAGTAGGGCTGTATCCAGTTGGTTTTGTAGATGCAGAATGCTGATACTGCCTCACAGCTGACTGGTTTTGAGTGTGATTTGATTTGCCATTACTGAAACCCATCCGCGTTGTTATTTCTAATGTATGTGGATTGATCTCTTCCAACGAGTCGGGCACACTCTCATTTGCATCCTCTAGAGTTACATCGTTTGCATTTGTGCCATGCAGATGGTTTTGTAAGCCTGGTGGTGTTGATGTGCCAGCCACATCAAAATTAGACTGTATTTCTGTCACGAATGCACCATTTTTTGTGGCAGGCACCTTTTGAGAAGTGGTCCCATTGTACGTAACCTGCTGTGAGTAACTGTCCTGTTTTTTATCTGCCCCGTAAGACTGATAGCCCTGATTGTTGTGTGCTTCTAGACTGTCAGCACTTGACACACTGCTCCTCCTCTCTGCCTCATTGCCCTCTTCACTATCAATTTCCCTATTGATCTCTCTGAGAATCTCAACGTTGAAATCCTTTAATGTCCTTTGCTGCTGCTCATGCAGCTTTCGTTGCTGCTCTTCTAACTGTTGCTCAAACAGACTTTTACTATTGTTCAGATTCCTTAAACTTTTGTTGTGAAGAGCTGTTGCCTTTTTCACCTCACGTGCATGTTCGTACACCCGTGTTGCAGGTGGCACCCCGTATTTATTTGGGTATGGCTTGTTTAAAGATTCCTGTAAGGGTGTCTCTTTTGAGTTATACTCCACATAAGAGTCATGCTGATTATCTTGTCCGTGATTTCCATCTCGCCGTCCGTAACTGCTACCCGTATACCCACCATGTAGGTGAAATGGCTGCCTTGCTGACACTGTTCTGAACCCACTCTGAGGGGCATTGTTTGTTGCTACATAGTTATCATAGCTACTGCTGCGGTAGTGGTTTGGACTATTCCTCACTGCCCTCAGAGCCTCTTCCAAAGCTGGGGTTGTGTGGTTCGGGCTGAACTGATCTGAAATGATTTAAAATCCAATATTCAATATTCAGTATTACTGGAATAGTCCAAGAATTTCTGGAACCTGGTCTCTTAGTAATTCAACAAACTTTTCCACCATGACCCTTGTAGTTTTTATGGAAAAGATCTAACATAGCACAACTGAAAGATCTATTTTTATAGAACCTCGTCTATGAAGAAGTACACTAGAGTTATTTAACACAGCTTTCCACTTTTCAGAGTAAACAATAAGCACATAATCCCTGGATACAAATGCTGAAGTATTGATTAAAAATCCCTTCATCTGCCAGAAATGAAATGACAACAAAATGTGTTTACACACAAAAATACTACATAATACCCCTATTTTCCTTCAGAAATAAAAAGTATTTGCAGGTTATGAGTCAAGACCTTTAGGATTTTGAAGTATGGTCACGTGTACGAGATAGCTTAAATTCTTAAAACTTACTATTTTTAACATACTAGGTCAAAAAAAGTAATCATCCATTAAACTGGAAGGCATTAATCTCATCAACCCCGTTGCTTATACCTCACAACACAATATTTAAATTAGTCAAATATCACGAACTTCACCTTTAATGGTGTTGAAATAATGTATGAAATGATTTGATTAAGATCTGTTTCACCTTGTGGGTGTGAACACACCGATCAGTAAACACTTACGTCTTGGGCTGCTATATGATCCTGTCCTTGTTCTGTTATTTCTCTGAAATCTTTCAGTGGCCTCCTGTTGTTTTTCTCTCCTTTTGGCTAAGATTTCTTGTCTCCTTTTTTCTTCCTTCTGTGCTTCAAGTTTTTTCTTAGCAGCAAGAGCTCTAACAAATAAATATATATATATTTGCTTGAGAAATAATAGATCTAGAAATATTTAATATGAGATGGGATAAAATTTATTTTCCTTTTTTATATGATTAAAATACAATTTGACAAATTTATATTTGATACAAAGCCACTTAATCAACAGCGCAGGAAAAATCAAACAGTCTAGTAAATATTAAACATAAATCATAAATCAAAAAGGGTTTATGTCATAATGTCATTAAAAAGCTACAAACAGATTCACATAAAAACTGAATATATTTCCACTCAACATGTTAGCAATACAAATTTTCTCTTTATATTTATACATTATCATTTTTATTTTCATTTTTTTTATCCTATTCTTTTTGTATGACATACCAATATTATACCAATATTTTAGTTATTCTAAAGAAGATAAAGCTATACACTAACACTAATTCTTAGAAAAAAATACAAAGTTCCTACTTTTTTAAATAAAAAATTCACACATAAGCACAGTTTTTTTTTTTTTTTTTTTTTTTTTTTTTTTTTTGCAAATAAGCATTAAGTTTTTGAACACAATAACAATGTGTAGTATACTGATTTTCTTTCTGCAGTCTCATAAAAGGTAGGAAAGTGAAGCAAACTGTGACATGTATAATACTGTATAATTTTATATATATTTTAGCTTTGGCATAAATCTTTATATTATAAAGTACCTGGCATGAAACCAACCATGCTACCTAGATCTCTCTTGCCCATTAAAAGCCAAACTACAATCACAGAGCATCAACACCTACTGTACATCTCTACCAAATTTTAGACAAAATATACCACAATTTGATTTCCCTGGCAACCCAACTCCAGTTCCTGAAGTACTAATAACAATATTCCTTCTCTTTGAAAAGTCATCCTCAGCAGTCATAGAATAAGTACAGGCAGTCATCAAATTTAACAAGGAAAAAAAATGGGGCCAGGTCCATGTAACCAAGGAAAAGTTTCTCTTTCTCCTACCTTAGAACCGTCTGCGTCTGCAGCCACATATTACTGGCTGGACACAGGTGCAGGGTGACTGTATAATCCATGTTGTCTTCCCCATTATTCCACCCCCCTGCTATGGTTTCAGCAAACTCCATATTTGAACTCTACCTTCACTATCAACACACACACACACTTGCAAACACGGCCAAGCCATAGAACCCCCCTTGTTCTGTAACCGGTCTGGCTAAACATTCTCTGAACCTTTAAATGTGAACTCTCATTAACAAATATCACCCCTTCCTGCCCACTGTATGCTGCGGATACATTCAAAGCATTGAATAAATTGAAACAGTCCTGAACATTGTGTTAAAATAACTAGAATAGAGAATTGTGTCGATTAACAATTGGTTCCATAAAGTAAACAGCCACAAACGTACTATTGCTATGTGCATAATTCCCGAGGAATTGAAATAACATTTACTGAACCATGATTGGGGATAATGTCACCAACCCTAAACATTCAACTGTTAACAAACAATCATTAGATGCAAGAAACAACATTCTTTTCGACAAACATGACCGCCACAAGAAAGCTAAATAAATTAATGATTATGTAACCTGCCAAGGGCTAAATGTTGCCAAACACTCTGGTTTCCTTTTATTTTTGTTTATAAAGGTACACCACAAAACATTGTTCAGTGCATTTAGTGCTAATGTTCTTTGTTGGTTTCTAAATACCACTTGTTGGTATCTAATGCACTACAGGTTGTGATAAATGTGTTAGAGAAGTTACAAGAAATTGTAACAATTGAGCCACCACACCTTGAAGCTGAAGCCCCAGTTACACCAGGGCTCCATATCTCGAAAGGTTTGCTATGTTGCGCACATGCGCAAGTGTCTCGATTCCATAACCGATTCTTTCGAAATACGGGGCCATGGAATCGAGATGCTTGCGCATGCATGCGTAACATAGCGAACCTTTTGAGATACGGAGCCCAGGTTTGTGACTGCTTAATCAATGAATTTTGGCACTCTCTCACAAAAATATGTAACAACAGAAAAGGCCACAATATTGAATTTTAAATTTCATTAAAATTGATGTTTGAGTTTGATGTTGACTGTGAAATACTGTCAAAACCCCAATTTTGAGGGGAGTGAGAATGCCAGGTAAAAATTTGTTCTCAAAGCAGTAACAAGATAACAGGGACTAAGGGGCCATTCCCAAATAACATTCCCAGATAACAGGGACTAAGGGACCATTCCCTATCGTATTAACTGTGGATCGATCTATCTCCAAGAGGAGTCTAAATTGCAATCAACTTAAATGGCTTAGATGTCTGTCATGCCTACTGAAGCTGCTAGACGGTAATTAATTAAGCTGCTTTGACTGAAAACAATTTAGCAAGACACCCCTTGGAGATGGATCAATCCTGTTAGATTGATCCAGGTATGGGAACCCAGTCTAAACTGAAGGAAAGCTGAACAGATGTCACACCAGGAGTATTAAGCATGTCCCTTGTAAGGTAAACTTATTTATTTGTTTTGGATAAATCATTCCATCCATTTATTAATTCAATCAATTTTAATCAAACCAATTATTTTCTTATGTATCTATTTATTCATTTATCTTTCTATTAAATCTCTTTTTGAGTCCATGAGTCCATAATTATAATGCCCCTGGCCCATGTTGTTTAGTCTGCTCAGTGTAATATTATCCATAAAAAATCAAATAAACTTTATAAAAATGTACCTGACACTAGACAAAACAGATACTGGTACTTATCAAACAAAATTTCGCAGTAAAATTTTTCCTCCTTTGGTTCATTAAATAAGAAGTTTAACCTTTTTTTAAGTCTGCTACCCTGGGGTATGTCAATTTTCTTGACAATATGAGCATACAACTGACAATTAACAGTAATAACTCACTAATTTCAAACACAATGTATTATTGTACTTACTGAACATTTCCAAAAGATGAGTAACACCAGAAAAATTCTGTCAGTTATTATGCTTTGAAGGGTAACAATTTTTTTTTGTTGAAAAAAATATGTAGAATAAATGAGGCTTGAAATTTAGCAAGTTATTACCATAACTATATTATCTAAATGTGGTCATAATCTACATGTAATTACGAAAATAACTTGGTCTAAACTTGAACAAAATAAATAATAATAATAATAATAATAATAATAATAATAATAATAAAAATAATAATAATAAATAAATAAATAAAAATCAGTGTCCACCTACTTTCTTCTCTTGTTAGTTTCCAATGAAAGTTTCTTGGTCTTGGAGATGACTTCATGGCGTTCCCCATAGATTTCTTTCTTCAGGTGATCTATGTGCTCTTTTTCTATATGCTGGAATTTTTTACTGGACACATTTGTCAAGGAAAGAGTTATAATAACTTCACTTTCTGTGTTCTTGAACATCTTATCATAAGTAACCTTGAATAATAGAAGACTTGGTGAATAAGCCCATGTATTTCAATAAGTCAGCCCTATTCACAGATAATCCCTTATACTTCCACTTCCATACTCTGTTGACAATCAAAATTTTCATGTACTTGCATACAAAACAATATGATGATATATATCTCAATTATCTTTGAGATAATGTGTCGATCTAAACATGCTCAGTTGCTCTGAACTCGTCTGAAGGAAATCATACCCAATGCATAAGAAATGTTGCTTATAATCCCTTCTGTCCTGAATGATCATAAATAAGTGAATGTGTCACATTCTCTGAACGATTTTGTGACAAGCAACTGAGTCAACTCTAGCAAATCTACAATAGATTACCAGAAATCTACCTTAATCATGTCCTACTACTTTGACAAGTTAAGTGTGACTCAAATATCTCTGGCGACTGTTTGACGTGTACAGAGATTGTCTGTCTGTGAAAACCACCCTGTATATCAAAGTACAGAGGCCTGTTTGGGTGAAGTTTGACTGCCATAACTGGAAATCAGACTAAGCAGTCTAATTTGAGGTAATGAGTAGAATAATTAGCCCAAAATAAATGTACTCAACATACCTAAATGGAAAAGATGATCGCAGTTTGCTAAAAGACCATGGTTAAACCGTGGAAGAGGCGAGGCAAGTCGCTTGATAGATTCTTTGTGATATTTAAAGACAGTATCTATTACAAAAGTGCTTCAATCTTTCTGTGAAACAGACTCCTTTAGTAAAACTCATCTCCACAACATAAGTTTCTTGGCACCAAAACTCCAAGTAATACTATGTGTATTCTTTCACTTAAGTAATAAACTCTGAAATGTAGGGTGTTATACTAAGTTTCCAAGCAAACAATGTAAGGGTTAGAGGTGTTGAAATAATGATGTCGTAATGGAAGGCAACATATCATGAAATATTCAGATTAGAGCATTAACAGGCAGAGAAATTCTGGCAATCACTTAATCTTCACCACAAAATGAGTATTGGTGGACAAACTTCACTACTCTCTTTAACATACATCAATAATGTCAATAATTTATCATGATTATTATTTTTCTAATGGCACTTGAAATAAACCACTGGAACTGGTAAATCAATTATACAGGAGACCTGTTACAGCTTAAGCACTAAAACATATATCAATGTACAAATCTCTAAGAAACATAAAAATATATAGCCCAAACATAAAATAAAGGCTATCATATATTTAAGCTATTTGGACTAAACAATTATTATGCCAAAGCACATCATAGTTTTTGGGTTGCAAAGAGGTAGTTTTCCAAATAAATTACTACTACCGGTTCCTTTACACAACTCAAATTAAAATTGAATCCCAATATTTCTTGCTGCCCGGGAAAACCATCTGTCATATACAATACAATACGCACTGATCTGAGAGCAGATTATCTGACTGTATTTATAATTTAAGAAATACATAACGATTGAATTAACACAAATTAATCCAGAAAAATATCACCTTGTAAAAGGATACGAATACGTGCCACCCAGCATTTTAAAGTGCTATAATCATTCCCCTTTTCTATACCTTCCAGTTTTCCTCGAAAATCGACAGCAATGTCATTGTGAAGATCAATTATTTCTAAAATATAAATTCGAAGCACCGATTAACGTTAGGGCTATGTGATATCCGCCATATTGTTTTGACGACCAATCAATAGGACCAGCCAGTATCAATATATTTAATTTTTAAACACAATGAAATAAAGGCAGAAAACAAATTTATAATTTATTTAAATAATTTTTATGAAAGAATTTTGATATAATGCTTCTATTTCAGGTAAATACGGAAGATTAATAAAACAAAAGACTATCTTTTGAAAAATTAAAACGGTTGCTCCCTAAAGTCCTTACATATTTCAAGGTGGCAGGAAAATCAAGACAAGCCTTTTTAAAGTCCGTTTTCCCAATCCGAATTTTGCAGGAATATGTCAAAAATTAAAATGTATTTAGCTCAGGCGTAGAATGGTGATGCTTTATTGAGCACTTTTCCAAAATATTGGTGAAGTGTGAAATATCTATAAAAATATTAACGTAAGTAAGATGTTATTCTCAAAAATATAATAATAATAATAATAATAATAATAATAATAATAATAATAATAATAATAATAATAATAATAATAATAATAGATTAGGTTAACAAATGAAAATAAAAACAATATCAATAATAATTATAATAATAATATTAATGATAAAACCCAATAAATGAATGCGCATTTCGTAATTTGACATCATGGTTAATACTTTTTTGAAAGTTCACCTAAATCCGCCACTGTTCAGACCGTTCAGATACGAATAAATATCATGGTATTAAGATTTTCATAATGCAATCATCCTGCATGATGGCGTGCAAAGACCAGATAATTTTTTTAATTCTAAAAATAAATGCTCTACGAGGTATTTAAGCAATTTGGTACAGGTGGACTATGGTTCCGTGATCAATGAGATAATTGTTTTTCGAGTGAGAGAAGGGAAATGGCACCCTGAGCTTCAGAGATAACTTGCCACTAACCTCTTCACTATAGGTGAAGAGGTTAGTGGCAAGTTATCTCAAGTAACTTGACACGATGAAGATAGGCTATAGTGAAGAGGTTAGTGGCAAGTTATCTCTGAAGCTCAGGGTGGGAAATGGCGCCCTGAGTTAAAGATAAAACGCACTGGAAACTGTACTGTACAGCCGACTTCACTATATCAGCACGTCTCTGTCGTGTATCAGTAAACGACATTGCCTGACATAGTACACTACGGTGCGGGTCCTGTATATAGATTGTGAAAACGGAGACGTGGGAAGGATTTTTATTTATTTATTTATTTATTTATTTGGGGGGGGGGGGGGGTTGTAAAAGTGTTAGAATTTTCCATTCCCCCACCACTATATCAATAAAATTTAAATAGACCTAAATGAGTTCCACGTACAGAACAAATTACCTACTGTTATGAAGTGAAGGCTTTAAACAGCCATCCCCCCCCCCCCCCCNTTTTTAGGTCACCGGCTTTGTAAAACCTGGCTTAATTCGTTGAGAATGCGCTCTAACACATATCATATTTTAGTCACATGGTCAAACTAGGCGGGCTTGTGCTCACACCCTATATATATATAGGTTCTCCATTTCATTCAAGCCCCTACCGTACGAAAGCTGACGGCCATATATAAAATGGAGTGCAGAAGGGCTATGGCAGCTGCACCTTTTAGAATACATGAATCTACATGCACCCGCAAGTAAGAACGAATACAAAATCCCTAATACCCATATAGTTGTTGTTGTTGTTGTTGTTGGAACTCGTGGTAAGCAATTCGAGATTCCCGCCACGTCAATTTATTTGTTTGACAGGCGATGAATAGCAGGTTTGAAATGTCCGGGGCATAGCCTACGTACATAGTGCGCTACAGCTTGACTCAGATTTCACCCTCACTTATGTATGTATGTATGTATGTAGTACCAAGGAGTTATAACAGACTCCTTGGTAGTACCTAGGGGGGCGTCTCGATAGTCCGAAGGTTCATTGGTCCGAAGGTTCATTGGTCCGAAAAGTGGTAACATTTTTATCGATTTTTTAATCAAGGGTTCATTGGTCCGAAGGTTCTATAGTGAACATTCGGACTATTGAACCTTCGGACTATCGCTACGGCCCCGTACCTAGCATTAAGACCGAGTACCGAGGCATGCTGGCAGCAGGAGGTCGTATTCATTGTCTTTCATTTTAGTTTGGACACATTTATTTAAAAAACATAATTCCAACTAATTTATTTGATTGTCCCCAGTTTGAATTAAATATAGTTGCATTAAATGCATTTAATTTTAAATTAAAAAAGTATTTCATTTAAGTTATAATTTTGATTTAAGTAATGACATTTTGAATTTGGATAATTGATTTGTTTTGATAATTTTAGTCTTATTAATTTCATTTTAAATTTAAGTAATTAATTTGTTAGCTCTTTTTGGTCAAGTTAAATCTTTGTGTTTCAATAAATAAACTTTGATATTAAAAATGATAGTTTAACTTGATTTTTAAGCCCACTTTGATTTCAGTTACATCACTTTGATTTGAAGTTTTGTCATTTAATAATCAAGCAGTTCTTTTATTGGTTTAAAGTAATGCCTCTTTTGATTGATGTATAGTCATTAATTTTTGTCACACCATCATTTATGTAATGTCACATTGATATTAAAATATTTCTTTAAAATTTGTCAATTCATTTAATATGTCATTTCTTTTCATTTTCACTTCAAGCATCAATTGCTTTCAATTACTTTGATATAAATGATGCACTTTTTAATTGAAGTGGTTTCTTTGTTTGATATTTTAATTGATTATCTTTTTCATTTTATAATTTTTTTATTTCAGTAATTTACTTGTTTAGCCCCAATATGTCTGTAAGTATTGCCCATTGCAATGATTTCTGTTGGCTTTTGATGTAATGTCACTTAAGGGGTTTAAGTGATTTGATGTCAAACTTTGATATAGATTTTGTCAATTTTACTTTTAAGAAATTGATTTATTGCCTCCCTGTGATTTTAGTTTTGTCTCTGATTTTGTTATATCAATTTAAATTGATTTAATTGATTTCTTTTGCCCCACTTTCATTTTAAGTAATGTCCTTGTTATTCTAAATAACATATATTGGTACACTTTAAATAATGTCACTTTAATTTGTCTTTTTTAAATTCTAATGTTTGATTTGTTTTCCCACTTTGTGTCCATTTGAATATTGGTTATAATACTTTGAATGTAAGTGATATCAATTTGAATGCAGTTGATTAATTTGTTTGACTTCACTTTAAGTAATGCCATTTTGAATTAAATGACATTTATGCAAGTTATTTGTTCAATTTTGACTTAAATAGTTATTCTAAAATGAAATTTGTTTGTTGGCTCTTTTTGGTTTATTAAAATGTTTTTTTAAGAAATTAATTTGATTTCCCACCTTGCTATTAGTAATTTCAGTTTGACCTTGAATTATTGAATAATTGGCCCACTTTGTGCCATATTGTTTGATGTTCAAGCATTAGTTTTGACCTTGCATGGTTTTTATGCAATGTCAATTTTTAATTGATTGTTTCAATGCATTGCCATTTAGAATTAAAAGTTTAGATTTCACTTTTATTTAAGTAATGTCACATTGATTTAAAATATGATTCTAAGTAATTGATTTGATTGTCCCAAATTTAAATAATATCACTTTGAATTCGATATCATTTTGAAATTTAGAAATTGGTCTTTCAGGTCCTACTAGAACTTTGATTTAGTTGTCATTTTGATTTCATGATTGCATTCAAGCTTGGACATAAAAAGAAAAGGCCTTCTCTTATTATGTCCAAGATTCAAGCAATGTCAGTTTGAATTTCAGAAATTGATTTTTTTTTCTTTTGAGTTAATAATGTCACTTTGAATAAATGAAGAGTTTGTTGTTGTCCTTTGATTTAAGTAATGCTAATTTTTAAAGTTAAATAATGTAATGGATAATGTTATTCGAATAATTTATTTTGCCACACTTTGATTTCATATATGTCCTATGATTTGAAGTAATTGATTTTTATTTATTTATTTATTTAATTAATTATTTTGAATAAGCAATGCCACTTTGAAAGTAATTTATTTGTTTGTGCACTTTGATTTACTACAACTGCAGGCCAATAGATGTTATATACTCTGAAGTTAAATTGTCATTCTAGTTTAAGTAATTCATTTCTTTGATTTTTAAGTAAAGTTTTGTTACTTTTTAATTGAACTATTGTCATTTTGAATTCCAGTAAGTAAATTTGTTGACCCACATAAATTATAGTGCTTATAATGTAATTTTAAAATTTTTGTATTCCACAAGTAATGTCACAAGTTCTTCTTTTTCCCCTTTCTCTTTCTGTCTCTTTTTCTTGCCTGCACAAGGGGTTCTTGTTACATGGACACACACACTTTCCACACTAATTTTTTTTTAAATTGTTTCGGTTGGATTCTTTGGATTATATTATATTCTTTTTTGTGTGTGTTTTAACAATAGATTAAAAGTAGATTGTGGAAAATATGCTACTTTCAGATTGAGATCAAGTTCTTTAATGTGTCTAACACATTATGTACCTTTCACTTTCTCTGACAAAAAAAAGAAAAAAAAATCCATTTTGATTTTTGTTTAATTCACTCAAGGAAGTAATTTTCTTGTGACAGATGTAAATTTGATCATAGATATTAAGTTAATTATAAATTGTATTGATAAAGTTTAATTTAATTATTTACTATTCATCTCTCCTTTTTCATTTCTGTCATCTATTGTTCCCAGTACGGTTCTGCTTCATTTATTCAGTTTAAAAAGTATTGATGTTAAATGGTAAATTCAGAGATTCTTCATGTAGTAATTTTTTAGATATACTATTAAGGTAAGCAGTTTTTTATTCTCTCTCTCTCTCTCTCTCTCTCTCTCTCTCTCACACACTGTTAATTTTTGTATATTTGATTTTGAGTTGTAACATTGTTTTGATTGATGTTCAGTAAATAGATATTTCTCCTTGCAGATTAAGATTGTGATTGATTTATGTCCATAACTTTCATTATTTTAAAACTGTCTATTTAATAAGACCAAAATACTTTTGATACCAGGTGTATTAGATCTGGGTTTATTTTATCAAATCTCATAATCGGTGTTTGAAATCGTAAAGCTGCTTTGTCAATAATAATCATTCAACACATGCTCAAGCATGGGCATTCATGATTTACATGGCAGAAATGAGCTTTCTCTCTCTCTCTCTTTCACCACATTTTTGATTTGTGAAAATAAAATGAACTGTGTAAAACTATGAGTGTCAAGTTATTTGGTAATCATAACATTACTAATATGCGTAATAAAGTAATTTTATACAAATTAGTAAAATAAGCAATTGATGTTCATGTGCTCGTGTGGCAATTTAGGTGTAATCAGTTTATGCAGTGATGGTTTAACAGTAAAGACATTTTTTCTAACCCTCTGTGTTTTGCCTAATTAGCACTTGCTCTTTATAATGTGGTTCATGCCATTATAACTACCAAACCCCTGAATGATGTCCTTGCCCTCATTCATGCAATTTATAAATGAATTTTTTAAAAATCCAAGCTTACTTTAGTAAAATTATCAAATATATGCAACATTGTTAACTTATTTACATGTTGCAGAGGGTACAAACTCAAAAATAAATATTAATGAATAACAATTATAGTTTGGGTCACGTGCTTTTAAATGGCTCTAGGATTGAAATGCAACTAAAAAAGGAAACTTGACATTTCCTTAAATGGAACACTTTTAAGCAATTGAAATCCTATTCAACAATTTACTTATTCATAACGAAAAGAGACAAATATGAATGATCTATGATAAAAAGATATTTTATTGCACTTGTATATAAGAAATATAATAAAGTGTATGAAAATGATCAAATTCTATAGCACAATCTGTTAGAATGTCCAATAAATGGTCATTTTGTGTTTACACAAATTTTTCTTGATTGAATGTCATTTATATGTTCATTCGTATTCCATTTTCTCTTCCTTGTCTGTCAACATGCTGCACAGACATACAACCAATCTGATGAAAACTAGTCCATGAAAATCCTCTTTCAACAGACCAGTCTATACCAGACTATTTGAGGCCAATGAGCTTTTTCTCAGAACTCCAGTAAAGCCTTCTCCCCGACCTGATTATGTTAACTTGGTGGATAGAATGAGATTCAGGCACCATGGAACCCCCTTTTCTGGCTTGGGGGGGGGGGGGGTTAATCTAGAAGCTTGTGCTTACACCTTCTGAATTTTCAGTCCACTTTTGCTTCATTTGTCCTTGTCCTGCTGGGGAAGAGTTTGTGACAAAGGAGTAGCAGGTTTCCAAGTTTCTAATTCCTTTACCACATTAACTTCTTCTTCGTGCTTTCTTTTTCTCTCTTTTGTTACAAAATTTTCACTAAAAAGAAGTGAAGATATAGTACAGAATTTTTCTATATTTCTCTTACAGTTTTGGAACAAAGTATGTAAATTTTGACTAAAACATGAAACAATTACTTTTCATATAACTAAATATATTGTGCACACTGACATAACTGTAATATTTTTTAATTTTATTTAAACTGTAATTCTGTAAATCATTATCAATAAATTAATTTTCCATTATATAATTTTTCAAATCCTGTAAAGTACCCCCCCCCCCCTTACAAAGGCAAACAAAGAAAATTGATAGATTAGTAAAATTGACAATATTGAACCAGTCATTACCTTGGCTCTGTAGGAAGATCTTGCAGTGGCACAAATGTGTCTGGTTTTGGTCTGTCTTGCATGGCACCCCTAGGAGTAAAAAAATTGGAATTTTAATTACCTTCAACAAGTACAGAATGTGTCAGTTTGACTTGAGTCCTTCTTCAAATTAAATTTCCTACTTTTTAATTTTTGTCATAGGTGACTAAATTGACACTGCAAACTTTTCAATATGTACTGTGATTTACATGTACATGCATAAAATAATACAGACAAAAATTTGCCATACCATAAACATTACAAATGGATAAGTAAACCATTTGAACAAGATAATCTTACCCAAAATTCACTATTGGTCTTGTGGACCCAAACTTATGAAAATTATATGAATACTCTGGAGCTTGATACTGTTTGTCCCCTAGCGATGCACAAGCAATGCCATTTCTTTGGTCAATGTCACATACTGCAAATAAAAAAAGCAAGAATAAATGAGAAATTTGATTAACATGTAACTGATAAAAAATTCAATCACTTTTGTGTTGCTAGTTACAAACCAAATGTGTATTTCTCTTTTTATAGTGTTATTAAAAAAAACACAATAAGAGAAAATGTTGAAAACCGTCAGAAAATGCTTCAATTCCAATGGTTGGAAAAACTATTTTTTTCTTGATACTTACACTTTCTACCTTTGCCATACAACATAAGGTGGGAAATCTCATTGGTTGTTTCAGCAGATCTAAAGTGGAGACCGTTCCATTTGCTTCTTTTGCCTATGTGATATCCTTCTGGATACTGACTCCATTCTTTCTCTGTGCAGCTAAATTTCCCTGTAAATAAAAATAAATTTTCTCAAAATTAACAGCAATAACACAGCTTTTTATCTGGTGAAAAAGGGTTTTCATTATCTCTTGTAGTCAAGAAATGTTAAAAGTCATTTCTGAAGACAAAACATGTTTTAACCTATGAGGCATAATATTAAATCACCCTTTATTCAAATGGCTTTGATCAATGAATCAGTCTTGTCATCACATTTTGACGAAGGGCAAAACCATGCTCTTACCTTTAGCTGCTATTACTATGATTTAGACATCTTATCTAATACTTAGATATATGTACAGTTTACAGTTAACTACAACTTGATATCTGTTTAAGAAAAAATTAACCATACCATACAAATTTCCTTTTGTTAAGACTGCATTCAATGTAGGTAACTTCCTTTATGATCATAAACATCAAATAAATAATTTCTTTTTCTTTCTTTTTTCATATTAAGAGAATATCTTTCATGTAATATCAATCAATTGTATACCTGGAAAGTATCTAAGTCGTGGAAAACTGTCAGGCCATAATTCTATTGGTATTCCTTCCTCATTCCTAGGTGACGGAATATATCTTAACTGTGATTTCCAGTCAGGACCAGCTCTATAAAAAGAAAATATATATTACTCCCATTTTAAAGGGTAGTAGGCTATCAGCACAAAATGCCTGTGGACTGAATGTTTACTGAACAATGAAATAGTATTATGTCTAGCGTGATTTACCGTTTCATTTAAATTCACCCATTAATTGTTTGATTCTAATCATTGGGATATTCGTAAAGGAATTTAAATATAACTTAAATTTTTTAAATAGATAAAGCATCTACATATTTGAATGTCAAACTCACTCAGAATATCTAGGTGTGATATTTTCATTATGAGGTCTCCAGTCTGGTTGCTCACCATACCCGTGTGGGATATACACACGGCCTGTAGGTTTATAATGAGGAAGCGGCCCTCTCCGGTTGTGAATGTCTGGAAAATGCCTCTTTTCAAGTTCTGCAAACAAAATAGCAGAATATGATGGATAAAAAGTAACTTGACATAATCACGTTGCTGCTGATTGTACTACAGCCACTAGACCCGTACATCTACCATTGGACATTGGCAATGTTATATTATAAACGATAGATCTATGTCAAGACTTCTTGTAAGTGTAGATCTATGAGAATTTTAAGTTTTTCAACATGCAAAAGCCTCCAAAACAAAATTGTCACATTAGAAAAGTTGACAGATTTTCGCTTAATACAAAGGCCAATCTTACCTTGTATCCCAGACTTTCCAATTTCTGTTGTAAGATGCAACATTATGAGTAAATGTCTCAAATATCTAAATTAACTTCTATTTGGAATAGCTTCCTGTCTCTAGGTCATGTGATCAAACTTTTTGTTGCCACTGGGGCATGTGTCACGTGGCAAGATGCACTTATCAAAATATATATTCGTATATCAGCTTTCATTTGATTCGTTTCTGTCAAGATAAACGTGTGTGTGAGTCGAATTTATATGGAGTAAGAAGCTATCAACCACGCAGTTTTTAACATCAAATTTGCTTTATAGCAGACTGTGAGCCAGGTGGCAGCACTGATGTCAATTGGCCAATCAAATGAAAGAAGAGTTTGTACACATTTCCAGGAAGAAACCTTAGGTCAGGTGTATTATTTCGTCTATTTAGAGATGAAGTAGTTTGCAATGTTGCCGGTTAGTTTGCACTGAATAGCAAGAGCATCATTTTCTGGTGAGTGTGCTTAAAGACAATCTAACCAACCTGTGTCGCTAATAATGTACTTTACATAAACGTAATTTTGGATCTACGTACGTACGTGCTGCTTCACGACTCCACGGAAGATGTCCAACACGGCGTCAGATTATCCTGTTTGTTTACTGAGCGGTAATGCTACCAGCAGGGCACAGTTAGATAAGATTAAGATTGGCCTTGGTCACGGATTTGCATTTCAGATGTGGTAAGCGTGGCTAGTATGGTGCATCCGAAGGCCTCCATTGGACTAACTGGGTGATTCACTTGTCATTGATCAATCGTGTTTAGGCAGACCTGTACGTAGCACGAAAATGCATGGGTTAGCATTTTCAATTTCTTATTGTTTTTAACATGAGATTTAAATATGTTATGAAAAAGTTTGCAAACTGTACAAAAAGCAGCGAACAATCTAGGGGTTGTATCCCATTTTACCTCCCTGGTAATTTAAATATCTTTTTCTGTTAATATATATAGCTGATTTCCATGCTTGCCCCCTTTCCTCTGGCAATATATATATATATATTTTTTTTTGTTGTTGTTGTTGTTGCCCCCTTATTATTTTTGGTACTTCTTCACCCTGACAACAGGAACAGCCCTCTATTCAGGCATGTTTTTAGATTAAAACTTGACGCAATTCCATAGTGCAATTTTAGCACAATGAGGGCAGATGGAGCTGGGTAAACAGCTTTTGTAACATCACTAGAATAGAACAGATTATCCACATCTTTCATGCGTTAGCACAACAGTACAGATCAGTGACATTATATAGGAATGCTAACATATGAATTTTCATGCTAGCAGACCTGCAGCCACATTCCCTCACTGTAATGATGCATGCCAGCTCACTGTGCCCATACCATGATTAGACATGTCGATAAACATTGTTTTTCATAGTCTGTGCATTTTTGATGCATCGTTGGATAGATATGCTGGTAGTATATATAGTGATTATTATGCAAAAGTTTGATTGGAAATATGCAATCCCCCTTCTCAAATGAATTTATTAAATATATATTTTCTAAGAGTGCACAATGCTTCATTTACTGTTGATCTTAAGGGAAAGCTAACAATTCAAATTAGTTCAATCCATGTTTTTATTTAATGTAGATTGCATAGTTTTTCATTTACTGTTGATTGTATGGGAGAGCCAACAATTAAAACTAGTTCAGCATGTTTTGATATAATGCAGATTTTCCATCTCCAGAAGATGTAGTATATGGACACGGATTTTGTTGCTTCTGGTGCATGTTTTCATGATCTTTCTGAAAGTAAAATAGCAGATTATATTTATAAATGAAATATGAAACAGTATGTGTTTTGTAAAAGATCATCAAGCAATGGTAAAAGTTGGAAAAAATGAAGAAGTGAGGAATGCAGATTGTATCAAGTACTGAGATGGTTGTCTGAGATGGCACTGCTGTCTGTATAGAAATAGCCAGTGGCAGAGAGGAGTGAAAGGATCACCCTTTGATGTTGGTAAGTCTTTGACAATGGTTAGATTTAAACTGGCTGGTTGGGTACATTTGAACCTTTTTTTTATTTTTTGCTGTGGGCTGTCTGTTAAATTATATTTGTAGTGCATCATCATCTTAAACAGCTATTGCATTTAAAGTGTACTGAAATGGCAAATTAGGGACACGGGTTGCTGCAAATGGTGAAAATATGTTGGTAATGTCTACAAAATTGTAGGTACTAGTAGCCTGAGCAGGTCATTGGCAGACAGTAACTGGTAGCCCCACAAGGCAGCTAGTCTACATACCCTTGTCTAGCGGGCTACTGCTAATGTCGAGCTCTGTTAGATGTTGGGGTTTTTGGCAAAATTGATACAATTTTTTTGCAATAATGGTTAAATGAGACCAATGCATTGCTGAACATGACATGTATATGTGTATGTTTAAAATATTCTTTTTATACCAGGCACCTGATTAGAAGCCATGATATGAATAAAGGAAAAAGAGGGCAACCCAAAATCTGCAAGGCAGACACAAAGAACAATTTGTTATATTAGATTGAGACTGATGATGATGATGATGAGAAGCAGCCAATGAAGAGATCCAAAGAATAATTCCTGACATCGTACTAACATTGTATCGATCTATCTCTGAGGGGATTCTCGCTAAATTGCAATCAATTTACATGTTTTAAATGTCTGTCACACCTACTGTACTGAAGCTAATTGGGGTAGTTAACTATTGTTTAGCAGCTTTAGTAGGCATGCCAGTTACTAAGCTGCGTAAGCAGAAAGCAATTTAGTGAGAAACCTCTTGGAGATGGACCAATCCTGTTAGACCGATCTAGGTATGAGAACCCAGTCTAAGAAAAAATTATGTGAACAGTCAGAGAAGAATTTCATCAGCTGTGTTAAGTTATAAGAATGATGTGATTTTTTTCTTCAGTCAACAGCTAATATTGAGATAGGTTTTACCTCCAATATTTCGATGTCTATCAGGACATCTTCTTCAGGGAATGAGGCTATCCAGGTGA